TTATAAATCATGTAATATACTATTTTTGTTGTAAAAAAAATAAAAAAATAAGCAAAAAATAATGTTGTTAAAAAAAACAATTTATTCCATTTGAAATTCTATCATTCTATTAACAATCTTTTTTACTAAATTTATTCTAGAATCTAAAAAATTACAATTTTGAAAAATTAAAGTGTTATTTGAAAAATTGATACACATTCAAATAATTTCTATTTTGATAACCAAATTTTTATTTTATTTATTAATTTTTATATTATAAATCATGTAATGTACTATTTTTCTTACAGTTGTCAAAAATGTATTTTAAATTAAATGGTATTATAAAATATTTTGGATTTGTTATTATTTGTATAATAAAATAATTATAAAATGTTAACCAACAATTTTAATTTCAGTATATAATATTATAGTTAGGTAGGTTGTAATAATTTTGAATTATAATTAGGTTGTAATTTGGATTTTTTTAGTAGATTAGGGTTTTCCGTCAATTCGAAATTTTAGTGGCCATTTTTTCATCGATTTAGTCTACTCTTTATTGTAGTCCATGTATCATTGACATACTTTATCCGTAATAATTCTATGATTTTTCTTTTGTGTGATGTAAATTTAATGGTTAACATAAGTTTATATAGGGAAAGAATGTTTCAATATTTACAAATTGATGGAAAAAAATGAAAGTTAACAATGTAGTAACCTCGTTTCTTATTGGATTCCTAAAAGACAACATTTATAAATAATTTTAATAATTTTTGTTGGATTTTTTAAAGCTTAATCCGATTGAGTTGGACAATTCCCGCTCCGAATCGCCGATTCACAGATCCATATGGGTTTTTGGAGTGCCCTATGTGGGGCACTGATCTATTTTTTAAACCACTAACCAAGACAAAAGGTCCAGAGCCAGTCATACCGGTTACTTCAACTTTATTGACGTTTGGATGTATTAATTGTTATTATTTTTATTTTAAATAATACTATGTTTTCGTAAATATCCATTATAGTTTCCGTTTTACCAAATACCAAATAGTATTTGTTATTACTGAAATGTTCGTTTTTTTCATTTCATAACAATTTTTTTTAAAAAAAATGACGTGTTTACCCCTTTTCGGTTTTTGAACAACCGAAATGGTTGGACTTTCAGTTGTTCAAAAACCGAAATGTGCCTCATTTCAGTTCTTCAAAAACCGAAAATGGCAACGCCAGTTTAAACACTAACGTTCTCTTCTCTACGTGTCATGCACGGTGCATGTGAGTCTCAAAGCTACTCCTTCGTGCGTCTAAAAAAACAGTCTCTCACTAAAAACCTAACCCTAACTTTCGATTAGATTAGAAGCTCAGGTATCATCACAAAGATTTGACGACATTTATTGGATTTTAAAGGTTGCAGATTTCTTATTTATAGTAAAGTTATGTATACAATGATTTGGTGTCTCGATATTCATTCCTTTGCATTATCATGTTCTTTTCATAGAGTAGTGCTTGTTATTGTAATTGTTAATAGAAAAGGGAGGAAAATGATGATAAGCCAAAGTATGGGACTTGTATTAGAACCTATAGGTTGAGTTGAAGAGCTCCATAACACTAGGTTTTGGTTTAAAATTGATCATCTTTTCCATTTAATAATAGCATGTCATTATTGTTTATGAGTTATCCCGTTAAGTTTTGTATATGTAACCTTATGAATAAATTCGTGACCATATGGGGTTTTAGTGAATATGAATCGTGTCCATCCAAATGGGGGATACCCAGGAGGTCCTTAGGACCCAAGTTTGTTACAACTACTTCCAGAATATTCATCCTATTTCTTATAAGAATGTCAGGTATATGCATATATTCATATGTCTTTCCATTAGTTTGTTATTTTTCAATAAATTGTAGTATGTTTAAATATGATATGGGAAGCACATGTATATATATTGTGACTCATATGTTGTCTATTTGTTGTATTCTAGGAAAAACAAGAAATTAGAATTGATGAAAGGACTTTTCAATTAAACGATTGGCATCTGACCTAAATGTTTTATGTTTTTTTTTCTATAAAATATCAAGAAAAAACCTCCTTTATGCTCGTTTGTTATGTTTGTTTGAGGGGAAAATTTTTGGTTGTTCAAAAAACCGAATATTTAAAATTTTCGATTTTTGAACAACCAAAATTCCAGCCATTTCGGTTGTTCAAAAACCGAATAAGGGTAAAAATGTCTCTTTTAAAAAATTTCATTATGAAGTGAAAAAACAGACATTCCAGTAATAACATAAACTATTTGGTATTTTGGTAATAACGGAAACTATAACAGATATATACGTAATTTTCCCATAATACTATGTAGTATTTCATAAAATAATATACTTTAAATTGATCATTACCTTAAGATTTTAATAAAGGGAAAAGTTTTTATAAGGTTGCAACTTTAAAATGTAGAACTACAGATGGACCTCAAAAATCCATTGGTAAATGTTGTTTTAATGTTGAAAAATCCTATAATTGATCATCTCGACATCGAGATATATGGCTATGAAAGAAAAAATGGATTTCGAGCCCCAAAAATGGTGCATTTTACAATACATTATCTAGACCGTCTATTTTCAAGATTTTCATATGTTTATGGATCTACTTGATTTTAATCATTTTTGAAGTTTAAACTTTTATATTAGATTTGAAAATAGATTTTGAGATAATCTTAAGAATATTTTACATCAAAATTATACCTTATGATAAATTTTGAAGGTACGTCTTAAACGGATTGTTTAAGGTTGCAACCATATGGAAACCACACCCTTTAATAAATAAAGGAAAATGTTTATGTGTGACCCAACAACATATAAATTATAGGGAAAATATCTACATCTTTTCTATTTTTAAGTTTCATTTCTTGATAAACTCAAGGTTTAAAAAAATATCTTCTAATCCTTTGACCACTTTAAACCTATTTGTTAACCTAAACAAATATGAGAAAGACATGGTATTTCTAAACCCAATCATTTCTCTCTTTTCCTACCTCTCTCTCACCTTTTCTCTCTCCTCCCATGTTTCCTCAAACACTTCTCTCTCTCCTTCTAGTAACCTCTCACCTCCTTGAAGCCCTTCTCTCTCTATAAGTTTTGGAGGATGACTTTTAAAAAAGACATGTTTTTTTAGATTTGTTTGGCCTAAAAAAACAGGTTTAAATTAGCTCAAGGGGTTAGAAGAAATAAAATTTACAATTTTAATGCCCCAAGATATCTTTTAAAACTTTGGGTCTATTGTGAAATGAAACTTAAAAAGTAAGGGGTATGAAGATATTTTCCTTAAATTATATGTGACTTCACTTCTTAGCCATTCAATTTGAAATCGACGACTATGATTGTTCATGCCACAATGTCACACTAAACACTTTTTTATTTTTCATTTTTTTTTATGTAATACATTTTTGTATAAAATTTTCGGTGTGCCAGCATAAAAACTAGGGCGAACTTGAAAAAATAAAAAATAAATATCTTTCATAAAATAAATGACCAAAATACCCCCTAAAATATTTAGGGGTATTTTGGTAATTTATTTATCACTGGAAATATTTATCTATTCTTTTGTATCATGTGTGCCCCTGTCAGATCTATGCATATCCCCAATTTTTTTTCAAAATGATTTATAGAATAGCAATAAAAAATAAAGACTATAAGCCGTCAAATCAAGTTAAGAGCTAAATTATGATATTATGGCTCAAGTCATAGCAACCCATCTACTCAAAACTGATGGCTGAGATCAGAGATCACATATACTATATATATATATATATATATGGGTGGGTTCTATAGCAAGCCTTGGAGAGAGAAAGTAATGGGGTTTTAATCCAACATTAAGGAGTAAAGTAAAGCAATCGTGTCATTTATATAGAAACACAATCATGCCTTACATTTATGAAAGGAATGAGAGAGTTTAGATGGTCGCGAAACATGCAAAAATATGCAGGCGCTTACGCCTTTAGTCGGGGTGCACGGATGGAGATCGGGCTCATAGATCATCCTATTTTTTATAGGAATAACCCAAACTTGACTACAGTTAACTTGACTGCGGTTGGCATGCAGGACTTGATCGCTGTAAGTAACCACGGTGGAGAGAATACCATGGGGAAATGAGTCCAGTATGTCTGATTTGTCACTCTAGTGAGCTTGCACTTGACCTCAGTTAGCACTATTTAACTGCAGTGAGTGCAATTTGACCCATAGCTAGTAAGTCAGGGAAGATCAATATATCGGCTCATCATAAAATCCGAAATAAGTCGTTTTATTTCAAAAAGTCGGATAAAAAATACGGATCGGCAAAAATACTTTCTATTAGTGAGTGCAATTTGACCGATGCATTCCTGCACAAGCATGACTGTTGGGTTGTAGCCGTTGATGGGTTTGCCAATTGAGACCGCCATAACTAATCGGCGACCAATCATATTCCATGTTAAAGGAAATTTGTTTCGTGCTGGACTGCATTTCTATTATGCGGTCTGAAAAGTGTATAGCATCCATTTCAAAGGTGGACCCAAGTAAGTGTTCTATCTAAAAACAAAAAAAATTAACAGTCCAAATGTTTATTACTAAAATTATTATTTGTATTTTTTCATATTCATGATTTCTATGTTAGAAATTATGTATTCTTAAAAATTAAATCTTAAAATCCATCTCAAAATTAGATTCTATTAAGAGGCCTGCATTTCTACATTGAGGCAACTCTGTTGCCCTGTAATAGTTGGCGAGATTTTTTGTGCCCAACACTGTTGCCCTGTAATGGTTGGCGAGATTTTATTGTGCCCTTCTATTCTCAAATATCCTAAGGAATGGTTTGCCCCGTACAACGTTTTGCACACCGATCTTTATAAATAAGGGGCTAAAAACATTCAGCGAGCGCGGCTGTAAACAAGAAGGTTTTCCATCTTTCTTCATTTTTCTTAAATCCTCGACAACCATATTTTAGAGCCCGTTTTACCCATCCAACTTTATCAATTCAAGATTGTAAATTGGGTGAAGCTACGGCAATGGCGAATTCTATGATTTCACAAAACTCGATTGCTTTGGTGGAACTAATTTCACGAGATGGTAACATAAACTTATGGTTTTGGTGATCATACTTAAAAGTTTCATATGTAATCATCGAGCAAAGGGTGGACTTACCATCCCAAATGAAGAGGAGGATTCCAAACTATCCAAATACTAGCAAAAATGGATATAGGATGGCAATACTTAACAATGGTCGTATCCTCAATGCACTTGCTGATCTAATTTATGACCTGTATTGTTTAGTGGCATTGATTGGCAAAGGAACTTTGGCATCTGGTCCATAGCTACGGGGAGTGGAAGCGGGAACAGGAACGACTCCTGTTTCGGAAGCAGGTGCATCAGATTGAGGGCTGCCTAAATCTCCGGAGCTCGGGAAGCGAGTTCAGGTGAGGGTAAAAATTGCAGATCGACATCCCGTATGAATAAGGAGCATGTTCTCGATACATTGGGATCGAGGTCTTTATTTAACGGGAATTCTATGTAAAATGGGATCGTGTTCCCATGTTCATTAGGATCGCGCTCCCCTAGAAAACAGAAACGAGATCCCATTTAAAGTTAAGTCGCGCCCCCACTTAAGAAAAATGTGTTTCTATTTGGAATGGATCGAGCTCCATTCAAGGTTGGATTGCGTTCCGCTTTACTTGGAGCCATTATCCACCTGTCATCTCTCTCTGTTCCTCTCTCTCTCTTTCTCTCTCTCTCTTGACCAAACATTCACCACCTCTTCAACCTCCGTAACCCTAATCCAATTGACCCAACTGCCGCGATGTTCCCTTCTCTCTCTCTAACTTCATTAACACATTCGTCTAACTTCACAGTGAGTAGACTCTTTCTCTCTCCCCAGAAAGCACAACAACAGCAAAAATCTACATACCCGTCTAGTAGTTGGGGACCTCTATGGTGATCTCCAAAAGGCCAAACAAGCTTTGAAAGTGGCAAAAATCTTCGATGAAAAACTATTTACTGGATTGCAGGAAACTACATGGTTGTGATGCTTGGTGATATTCTTGACAGAGGCGGAGAAGAGCTCAAACTCCTTTATTTTTTAGAAAAACTCAAGCAAGACCGAGAGAAATCAAATGTGAAGCTGTTAATTTTACAAGGAAACCATGAAAGACTGAATATACAAGGAGATTTCAGGTATATTATAAAAGTTGGCCTTGACAAATTCAATAATTGGGGTGGCTGGTTTTCTATAGGAATTCAAATGAAAAAATTTTGTAAAGGATTGGAAAAACAAATTAACATTTTTAATGGAGTACTAAAAAATTGCCCATCTGGAATTAGGGCTAGAGTAACTGCTTTGAGTCCTGGAAGTCCAATTTCTACACGTTCTTTAGCTGATAACCCTACTGTTTTAATGGTGGGGGGCTCTGTTTTTGTTCATGGTAGGATCCTCCCTAAGGATGGAATTCCGGGAACGTAGGGATCACGATCCTAAAATTCTGGGAGCGAGGATCTAATTTGTTCGAGAACGCATTCCGTGGGACAGTGGGCACGAGATCTGTATGGTAGTGGAATCGAGCTCCATTGTGAGTGGGATCGACAATTCTAAAAATAGGAGTGAGCTCCCAAAAAGTTGGGAACGGGTCCCAGACCAGATCCCGGCCACGGAGCGCCAGAGCTGGATTCCAGAGCGGGAGTGCCACCCTAGTTAGGCGCTCCCGATAACTATGATCTAGACTAAATATCTAACAGAAGGATTAGGTAGGCAACACTTCTTATATCTAATTATTTGAAATTTAAGTTCACTGGTAATAAGCTTGTACTCAACAAAGTGTATGGGTAACAATTTGTTGCAATTGTACTCAAATCAACTGGAATTGAGTTACATGAAGCTCTTCAAGTGGGATTATTATATATAAGTTAACCCCTCATAAAAACAATACCTAAAGAAGGTGAAGCACAAAAGGGTTGCTATTGACTTAATTTAATTTCAGCGATCTCTTCATATAGAGGAAGAGAGTAGAATTTGGGAAAAGAAGCAGGAAACGATGAAATATCTTTCCAAAGCTAATCTTGACATTTTGTGAGGCATAAGTCCAAGAACATGACCCAAAATGATAGAAGGCCAAATCAAAATGGATAACCCCAAGAATCATGAATCTAAAGAGAGAAAGGGATTGTGCTTTATCTGTGAAAAACCTAGTCGTTGATGAATGTTGGCATCAAAAAAGGCTTCCAAAGCCTCAAAGTCGAGTCAACATTGAAAGATGGACTATGTAATAATGCACGGCATATATATTTAAAACTTTTTTTTTCTTTCACTGACAATATCACTCACAATGTCCAATTATAATTAAATTTTACATGAAAAAAAAAAAAGTATATCACTTGCTACCATCTAAAATAAAGCTTTTTCATAATAATAAAAAAAAACATAGACTCTTTGCTTTGTAGGAAAGGAAGAACATAACACAAATAGAACTTTAAAGAAGTAAAATCGATAGAGATTACTTCAATCGGACTTAATACACCTCACACCGAGTCTTCTCCTTCTGATGGTGCTCGAGATCTTTGATTGGTCTATTGATTCCTCCTTCTTATGGCAAAACCCAAACAATGCATATAGATCCTAATCTAGAACCTCCCACCTAAAACCTTAATGTTTTAGCCTAATTCAAGCCCCTTAGCTTGATGCTTATGAGAGAGAGAAATTAAGAAAGGAGAGAAAGAACTACTGGCTAGGGATGATCCTTTTGCTGCCCACAAAATCATATAACTAAAACTAGCTTGATTTAGATCTCATCTTTTCTTAGTCTTTCCCTTCTATTGTCACATATGCCACAAATAAGCATCCAAAGAATTTGAAGACGACATGTAAGGAAGCACTTCCTTTATTTCAATAGAGTAAAGACCATCCACAAGCAGACCGGGCATCACGACTTCATTCCAGTTTTTCACTATAACTTTATCACCAAAGAAGGTAGTGACAAAACCGGCTTTGGCCATCTTAGGAACCGAAACCAAGTACTTCCTTATATCGGAAGCATATAGTGCTTATTTTAAGATCAAAGATTTCTTATCCTTCATTGCAATAGTGTATCCCCTAACTCCCAACACATCCGTCTTTTGATTTCCACCCATAGAGGTGTGTTGTTCACCCAACCCTATGTGAGTAAAAGATCGGAATTCATCTTGCGTGTTTGTTACGTGAGCCGTAGCTCTCAAGTTAAGACACTAAGAGGCAATGTTAGGGTCGTCTAGCAATGTTTCAAAGATTACACAAGCAAGTTTCATGTAGGTCCCGGAATTCGTATTTGACCTACAATCACTTGCTATATGACCAACGTTTTTGCAAATAAAACAAGGTCTAGTATCTCTTTTCCCTTTATATTCTCTCTCCTTATTTCCTCTCTTCTTTTTATAAGTGTTCTTTCCCTTTCCCTTAAAAGGCATAGAGAAGGGTTTAGTTTTTACCATTGCACCGCCTCTTTCGATGCTGGAGCATGGCGCACATTCCTTCTTCTTCTTCTCTTTTGAGTAGGGTGATAAGCCCCTCGAGTTTGGGAGCCTTTTGTCGCACCGAGATGGACATGATGAAAGTGTTCCAAGAGTTGGGAAGTGGGTTCATAAGATGAACCACTTGTATGGGTTCATCGGGTCGCATGCCGGTAGCTTGCACATCTCGGATCAGTGCGCAAAACGTGTGCTCATGATTCGACATTTTTGTGCCCTGATTCATCTTAAGCTCATTGTACTTTTTCATGGCAATGGATTTTTTTATAATGGATGGATCCACAGACTCCTTTAGCCGTGCTAATTGACTCATATTTGGATGCATATGAGTCATCCATTGCACAAAACAAGATATGTCGTGCTCACATATTCTTGCGCTTCCAAGTAGCATATTCATCCTTAGTGCCTTGGGATGGATCGCTCATTGGACGCGGAGGGAGATGCATGATCAAAATCTAATTTTGCACATATCTAATTTTGCGCTTCCATGAGGAGTAGTTAGTTCCATCAAACCTTTCAGTTTTAAGGAACTAAGAGATGAAAGTGCCTGCGGCCATCTCTCTCTCCCTAAAAAGCAATCTAGGACTCAATAAAAGAAAATAAAAGAAATCCTAGAGGTAGCAAGAATCCAAGCTTTGATACCAATGAAAGATGGACTATGTGATAATACAGGGTGTATATATTTTAAAAATTTCTTTTTCTTTCACCAGCAATATCACTCACAATGTCCAATTTCAATTAAATTTCACTTAAAATTAATTAACAAAGAAAAATAAGATCTCACTTGCTACCATCTAAAACAAAGCTTTTACATAATAACGAAAAAAACACAGACTCTTTGCTTGACGGGAAAAGAACAACATAACACAAATAGAACTCTAAAAAAGTACAATTATTGGGAATATTTCAACCGGGCTTTATACAACCTATGTTGAGTCTCCTCCTTCCAATGGTACTTGGAATCTTTGATCGGTCTCTTAATTTCTTATTCTTATGGCAAAACTCAAACACTGCATATGGATCCCAATCTAAAACTATCCACCTAAATCCTTAATGCTTTGGTCTTATTCAAGCCCTTTGGCTTGATGCTTATGAGACATAAAAATTAAGAAAGGAGAGAGAGAACTACTAGCTAGGGATGCTTCCTTTACTGCCCACAAAATCATATAAATCAAAACTAGCTTGATTTAGAATCCATGAGAGATAGAGAGAGAGGCTAATCGAGCTTAGTTTGGGCGTGCCCCCTTAGAGCCTACAAGAGAGAGAGACTTGCTAGGTTGGAGTGTGCCCCATAGGATAGTTTGTGTGTGACCCATAGGATAGTTTGTGTGTGTGTGAGAGAGAGAGGTAGGCTAGAGTGGGGTGTGGCCCCTTAGGTTTCTTGGAGAGAGAGCAAGTCAAGCTATGTGGGGTGTGCCCCTTTGAGAGGTTTGAGAGATAATATTTTAGAGAGAGGAGATAATAAGTAAGAGGTATAGAGACAAGGGAGGAGAATTATTTGTTTCATGGAGTTTTTATGCATTAGAGTTTGCCATAAAATCCTAAGAAAAATTTTTGACCGTCGATCTAAAAAGACTTGTAGGGTTAGAGATATGAGTTATCTATTCATTAGATCCACCATCAAGATGCCAACTAGCATGAGTTGCCTCTTACAATTTTTAGTAAAATGACAACTCTCCATGTGTGGGGCATGACACCCATTGTGGCCTCCCAAGGGCCCCACCCAATCCAACATAATATATTAAATTGACCCCCATGTGAAATGGTAGGTCCCACATATTTTTAGAAATAATAAAACTTTATTTTTAGATTTTTCAAACCTCTTAGTTTATTTAAAACTTTACAAATGAATATTTCTTGATTTATAAATCCAAATGACAAAATTAAAATATCATAAGATTCATAAAAATTCAATAAATATTCTAAAAATAAAATAACATAAAATTAAATTAATTTTGATGGGAATCAGATCCAAATAAAGCTAAGATTTAATCAATGCATGGGAGCACTCCACCTTCAACTGTGAACCACGATTCACACTAGCTTTTTCAAACTGACCCAGCAGTTTGCATGACCCACATTCCACTTCAAGGGCTTATGATTGGACCCCTAAACTCAATCAATGTGTTAGATAATGCAATCTAAGTCTGTGGATTTCAAGTTCTCCACTAGAGACAAACCATGATCCACCAGATCATGATGCAACTATTATTCTATGGTGCATAAAGATAATCTCTCGCACATGTACATGCTTCACTGTCAATGGTGGATTACTATCTCAGTATGACTATCTATGTATATGTCGTGTGATGATAGAACAATGAGATTTTAGTCTTGTCTCTATAAACTATTTATCATACAATCCCTCAAGCCTAGTCTGTATATCAACAAATTGTATTTGTCTAGTATGGTTCACAAGAGGACCACACTCCTACTGAGTTTATCATTCATTTATTCAAATATTTATATAATCTCTCTTAAGGTTTAAAGGTCACATAAACCCAACAAACATCACCATTGAAGAGAAACTAGTCATAATGGTTATTGAAACTAATATGATTGATAAAGAGGAAAATTGGTGGATAGACACTGGCTATACATCCATGTAACTAATAACTGGAACTTATTTAAGACATATGGACCAGTGAGAGAAGGGAATTCAATACAATTGAGAATTCGAGCAATTGCAAAAATATTTGGTAAAAGGACAACTTAATATTGAAGTTTAGTTCAGGAAAAGTATTGACTTTTGAAAATGTGTATCATGGACCAGATATGAGTCATTGGATTTGGCACATTGTTCTGACCAAGAACGGTGTCTTTATGGGAAAGGAATAATCTTGTAATGCAATGTACAAACTAGATTTGATTAATAAAATAAAGAATAGTCCCATTTTTATTGTGAGTGCTTCAATTTATGGCTAGATTAGAATTAAATCTTGTTGCAATTAAGTTCATTATTAAGTT